CATAGTTAGCAAAACACAGGTAAACATCTTTTGGGTATTCTTTGCTTTCAGCCAAGATCCATCTGACATCAGTGATATCCTTTGTTCCACATCCTCTTCTGAATCCAGCTTGAATTTCTGGAAGTTCCTTATCAATATACTGCTGCAACTGTTTTTGAATCATCTTCAGCAAAATTTTCCTTGCATTTGATATTGATAATATTGTTTAAAAATTTCCACATTCTGTTGGGTCACCTTTCTTTGGAATGGGCACAAATATTGATCTCTTCCTGTCAGTTGGCCAGGTAGCTGTCTTGCAAATTTCTTGGCATAAATGAGTATGTGCCTCCAGCACTGTATCCATTTGTTGAAACATCTCAGTATATATCCCATCAATTCCTGGGCCTTGTTTTTTGCCTTCAGTGCAGCTTGACTTTTTTCATCATTACCATTGCTTCTTGATCATATGCTACTTGCTGAAATGATTGAACCTTGACCAGTTCTTTTCAATACAGTGACTCTGTATAATCTCTTCCATCTTCCTTTGAATCATCTTGCATAGTCAATATTTTGCCAATAGACTCCTTCAGTATTTCACCTTGAAGCTTCAATTTTCTCTTTAGTTCTTTCATCTTGAGAAATGCTGAACATGTTCTTCCCTTTTGGTATTCCAACTCCAGATCTTTGCACATTTCATTATACTACTTGTATCTAGTCAATTCTAACTCGTAACGACCCTGTAGGACAGAGTTGAATTACGTCATAGGGTTTTTAAGGCTATAAAAGCTAACTGCTTCATCTTTCTCCCTCAGAGCAGCTGGTGGATTTGAATCGCTGACCTTTTAGTTAGCAACTGAATGCCTTTAACCACTGCTATACCAGAGCTCCATTCCCCCTATGTAGAATGACATTTACCAGTTAGGTAATTAAATGAATGCTTCCAGTTAGCAGACTATTTATGTGTGGTGTATAAAGTTGTCAGACCATACCAAGCAATTTTCTATTAAAATATCTTTATTTACTGATTTATTTATTTCCTTCATTGGCAAATCTGAAGAACTCAATAAAATGAACTACTTAACAACTTAAGTGTCTGTCATCTGGAATATTTCTGTTTGGTAGATTTATTATCATGCACCCTCTTTAACAAGATTACCATTAACTTTGATAAATGAACACCCATCAAATTCCATACTTAGCCCCACTCCCATCTTCCCATCTATCTTTATGTTAACTTATGTGTGAAGAATCTATTTACAAAAATTTGGATTAGGCAGTTCATCTCATAAATCTTTGCTCCATTTACTTTAGCAAAATTTAAAGCAACACTGAATAATGAAGACTATCTTTAACATTATTAAAATTAATGTTTGCTTTTTACTTGAAAAGTAGTCTACCTTCCACTGTAATTTTTTGCTGACCTTCTTGAAGCTTCAGAAATAAGACAAAGCTCATCTTCAAACAAATTCTTAATGGCTAATTAACATCCATCTTGAACTCTTATGCAATGTAATGCAACAATAATTCAAAGTTTATAAACAATAAATAATTTCTAGTACATTACTTTTCAAATAATGTAAATCTGGATATATTTTACTATGGCCAATAAGATATATTTGAAAGTAATACTTTTTAAGAGTGAAAGCTATTCTAAGTATAAAAGAGAACAAAAAGGTTACATCCCTCATGCCTGGTTTTGCCTAATTGATATACAGTGATAAAGCTTATGGGTAATCTTAGCATCATTAATTCTATTAATGTAAAATTACATTCTTGGGAGATTTCCAGCTATCATGGGCTGTCTGTTATTAGAAATAAATAGCAGATATTCTGGTAGGAATATGAATTGCATATGCTCACTCGTATCTCATAAGATGTAGCAGTCAATGGAATTTTCTGTATATCTCTAGAGCTATATAATATCCAGTTACTACAAGTAGAATTTTGACACTAAAACCACTAAATATTTTTGGGTATGCTTTTGAAACTCCTTTGTCAAGATTTGAAGTTTCTCATACACACGCAGACATACACACGTAAGATGACAATGCTCCTGTGTTAGCCTAGCTTAAAGATATTGGAGTTAAAGAATGCCAATAATATTCTAAATGTTTCTTTTAGTTGTTAACATTCATGGAACACAGTACTGTGCTCTAAGAACAACATATAGATTTTGTTGAAAAATAGTTGCTTTCATTTTGACTACCTCAAGTACCCATTTTATAAAGAAATGGTAATTTCAAATGTTCTTTGGTCTTATATTAGTTCTGGGTGAATAGTTCAGAGGGAAAAAAAAAAAGAAGCCCCTTAGGACATCTTGATTTAATTTACAAGCTTGGATTTAAATAAAAATGTGTTGGGAATAGCCTGCATTTAAGGGGGATGGGTATGAATGATTATTGGTTTTAAAACCCAAAGTATTATGTTACAGCATAAAAATATACATACCATGCCATTATCATGTTCTGATATTTCTTCCAGGAGAGGTAATATCTTCAGTAAGTTTTTTAAAAAATCTTTATTTGTATTATTGAACTTCATCTAAAGTCTTAAGCTTGATTAGAGTCTTTAAATGAATATTTAAAAATGGTCATTACTATTTATCGAATATTCCTAAAGACCTAAACTTTGGTTACTTGTTCTTCTGCATCAGTTCTTATATTAAAATAACATATGTCCCTATTTTAGCAATATTACAGGTCATTAGCTGTGATTTTTTTCGTACGTAATAGATTGAAAACAAACAAACGAAAAACCCTTTAGCTTACCTCAAATACAGCTTATCCATAGTATATACCCAATTATTGCATTTTAGTGCTGGAAGGAATCTGAGTGATCTCCTGTTTCCACTGACATATTTTACAAGTAAGAAAACAGCCCAAAGCATTCAAACGATTGTTTTAGATTTTATTCCAATTTCTAAATAGCAGATATATAAACAAACTTTTGAAATATAACTGATTTATAAGTTTGGAACTAGTTGTATAGCCTCTCTAAAAGGATCCATTCAAATACATAGGAAAAATTAATGACAAGGGTAATTTGACCTTGAGTGCAGACTTGAAGGATTATTTTATAGGCTTGGGTTCCCTAAGTGACATATTCTATTACTTGCTGTGCTGCTAACTGAAAGGTTGTTGGTTTGAATTCACACTGAGGCAACCTGGAAGAAAGGCCTGACTATCTGCTTCTGAAAAATCACACCATAAAAAACCTTATGGAGCTCAGTTCTACTCTGACATACAAAGTCACCATCAATCAGAACTGGTTTGATTTTGATTTTCTATGGGTTCAGTTGGGTGGTTCTCCCATACAAACTCACTTATCTTCTGTCTGGGCTAGGAAGACTCAATAGCTGGAGCATCTAGCAGCTTTCTCTGCTTTTGGATGGCCTTTCCACTTTGTTGTTCCAGCTCCTTCCAGAGAGTAGGCAGACTCCTAACCTGTTGACTTAGGTCAAGCAAGATGTGTATCTTTAAGAAGAAAGAACCAGACAGAAGCTGCATTCCCTTTCCTAAACTAGCTTCAAAAGTCTCATAGTGGCATGTTTATTTGAAGTGAGTTACAAACCTAGCTCATCCTGAAAGGGACAGGAAAAGAATTTGATTCCAGAGGAATCAATGGCTTCCAAGGTTTATGTTTTTCTTCTGATCCTTGGCTGTGCTTTGAATATGAGGTTGCTAGATTAGAAATCTCTGCATATGTGTAATTTTGCTGTGCATATGACTAAGGCACTATACAAGAACCTGATTCCCAAGATTGAGGACAGAAATTTCTTTGTCTCTTATGGCAGCATACTTTCCAGGGAACTCTACCTGGAAACCTGCTTGCTTTTGTAAGATGACTGTCTCTCTAACCTTTTGGTTACAAAAGGAAATCAGCATCTTGCTCATTTTCTGAGGCTTTAAAGAAATTCCTTGTTTACTACTTATGTTGCTTGGGCAAATAATATGATAGCAATTTGAATTACATCTTTGTTTACTGTTAACCTTAAGAAAAAAATATGTCATGATAAATTAAATCAAACTTGGATAATGAAGTTAAGTAGTAATACAATCGGCCCTCTGTGTCCATGGGTTTCCCATCTGCAGATTCAACCAACAGTTCATTGAAAATATTGGGGTGCTTTGTAAAATTAAAAAAAAATAAAATATTGTGTTGGGGGTAGTAATTAAGTGGTGAAAGCAATCCCTCAAAGGCTAACAGAGAGCATGAAGTGCTATTTACACTAGCATTTACTTTGTCCTAGGTAGTACAAGAAAACACCCCAGAGCATTCAAATAATTGGTTTTAGATTTTATTCCAATTTCTAAATAACAGATATATAAACAAAATTTTGAAATATAACTGATTTATGAGTTTAGAACTAGTTGTATATCCTCTCTAAAAAAGATCCATCTTAAAATTCATGGGAAAAAACTAATGCCAAGGGTAAATTGACCTTGAGTGCAGACTTTAAGAACTCTTCGGTAAGCTTGGAGTCCCTGGGTAGCATATTCTGTTACTTGCTGGACTACTAACTGGAAGGTTGGTGGTTCGAGTTCACCCTGAGACACCTTGGAAAAAAGGCCTGGCTACTTGATTCTGAAAAGTCACAACCATAAAAAACCTTATGGAACACTCTACTCTGAAAAAATAACTGGGAAAAATATGCTGTAAGAAGAGGAAACAACCCCAAGGAGTGGAAGGGCTGAGGAGGCTGGACTTTATCCTGTGTATGTGGGAAGAAACCACTGGACATGTTTAGGCAAATCAATCACTGAAATGTATTTGTTCTCCAAACACTTGTATGTAGATTGGGGTGGGGGCAGAGATGGAGCCATGGAGATTAATTAGGAGAGTAGTGCAAAAATCTATGTGAGAGGTAGAGTTGGTGAGAACAGAGACCAAGATGACTTTTCAAAAAGACTTTGTGAAGAGAGAGAACAAGAACTGTGTAACACTGTTTTGAATAACCATCCAAACTCTTCATAAGCACATTTTATGTTTGTATCTGTGTTTCTTTTCCTTTTGCACTGCAGACATGGGATGTAGAATTGGAAAGATCTGCAGAATCTTGGGCTGAAACTTGTTTGTGGGAACATGGACCTGCAAGCCTGCTTCCATCAATTGGACAGAATTTGGGAGCACATTGGGGAAGGTAGCTTAACATGTTATTTTTGTTTCTGAAAACATATTCAAAATGAAAATTCTTACTAATTAATCTTTGAAAATTATCAAAGACTTGGTGCCTCCAAGGAATACAAGTAATCACAACACAAAAAACAAAAAAAAAACACAAATACTGTATCAGAATGATTAGCAGATTTTTAGATTTACTTTTGTTTTAAACCATTGAAATGATATTAGTAAAGTAATGGGCATACACATTTAAGATGAATAATTTACACAAAAATATCTCTCTACTAAACTTTATAGGAAGCTCTGGTGGAATAGTGCCTAAGATATTTGACTGCTAACCAAAAGGCTGGTGGTTCAAACATACCAGCCAGTCCTTGGCAGGAAGGTTGAGCAATCTACATCCATAGGACACTGCCTCGGAAATCCAAGGAGGGGTCGCTATGAGTCGGATCTGACTCAACTTTATCAGTCTATTGTTAGATTTGCTTTTACAGTCTTTTTCCAACTTTGCTTGCTTTTTATGATTATTTTCTTTTTAATAGATACAGGCCCCCAACGTTTCATGTCCAAGCGTGGTATGATGAAGTAAGAGACTTCAGCTATCCATATGAGCAGGAGTGCAACCCATATTGTCCATTCAGATGTTCTGGTCCTGTCTGTACTCATTATACACAGGTGTGTTTCGGGAATACTATATTCCTCTAACTTGAATTAGTGTAATTGTGGGAGAGCTTTGGCTACTGAACATATGTCTTTCTTATGTCAATTGTTATGATTATTAAAAAAAAGCTTATAGAGTTACTGATTTATGTCAACTAAACTTAACACATTTCTATAAACAATAGAAGTAATTATGAAAAAATTTCCAAATGTCTATTTAAAAAGACATTATTTTCATGATTTTACATATAAAATATTTTAAATATGGCTCCAATAAATGTGTATGGAAAGAAATTTACCACTTTCAAGGCCAGGAGTGCTTATTATTTTTAGTTTATGAAGGATGAAAGTACAGTTTACCAGTTCTATTTATCAGTACTTACATGTGTGTAACATTTATTTTTTTTTATAGTCACTGTTCACATTTGGTATTGGCTATATTCTAAACATCTGAATCAAACAAGTGAAGGTTGATTTAATAAATAAAACTCTCTCCTGGTCTGAGGTCTTACAATTTCTGTGACTGAAAATCTTGGAATATAAAGCAGACAAATTTTTCTGTATGCCTTTGCACATGACAAGATTAAGATCAGTGTCTAACTACCTACTAATCAGTGGCACGTTGAAAAGATCATGCATGGTGCGTGCATGAGAAATTTGAACACCTAAATTTTTGCTCCAGTTCTTGTGTTTGAGATGGGAAATTCTCTTCCTTTGTTTGGCAAGTTTCTTCACAGAAATATTAATACTGCATTTGGATTTGTGAAGATTTAAGTTTTAGATTTATTTGGTAAAATTTTGAAAATGCTTCTTCTTATAGCCAGTAGAGTTATTTTACTAGCAGAACTCTTTTTAAATTGAATTACGCACTCCCCAGAATTTCAGGAAAAAGATCCTTTTTGTTACATGATAATTGCTTGTTTCTCAAGATAACCATGTATACGTTTTCTCTGCAATAGCTTGTTGTCTTGTTTTGTGTCATCCTGTGCTTTCTGATGCTTGCTTCTCTCTCATGTAGGTGGTGTGGGCAACAAGCAGCAGAATAGGTTGTGCCATTAACTTGTGTCACAACATGAACATCTGGGGACAGATTTGGCCCAAAGCTGTCTACTTGGTGTGCAATTATTCCCCAAAGTGAGTAGACAAAATGCCTTCATATCTATTTTTATTTTAATAACATGAAATAACTTTAAAATTCTGAATTTTATTTTTTTATAATGAATTATTGAGCAAAGTATATTGCTTTAGTAGATTTATTGTCAAAATCAGTGCATAAGGGGAATATGAAAATTAAAAATATGATCTTTGTGAAGACAATCATATTTTATAACTTTAGTTTTATTTATAGCACTATTACATTTAACAAATATTTAATCATTGTGATTTATTAGAGATTAGGATGATACATTTAATTAAGAAATTTATTCACTTATTTAAAGATTTTTCAAATGATGAAATGAAAATATTACACAACTATACTTATGGTTAAATTTAAGTCTAAAATTTGTTTTCATTAAAAAGAATAAATATAGATGAATGTTCCATAGCATAGTTTGATGTTCTGAAAATATTAAGTTTTATGATTTTTAACAATATGCACAATGAATTACATATTTTCCAAAGAATAAGGCAGTAATAGCCCAAAGGACTCTATACTAACAGATATAAATGTCTTGAATCTATGTACCAAAATCCTTATTTGGAAGATTCTCATATGGTGATATTTTCAGCATCTTAAAAATTATGCTATTAGGTTACCACTTAATAGAATGGATCATCTCTTTAAGGGGAAACTGGTGGGGCCATGCCCCTTACAAACACGGACGACCCTGTTCTGCTTGCCCACCTAGTTTTGGAGGAGGCTGTAGAGAAAATCTCTGCTACAAAGGTATGTGGTATTAGGCTGTAAGATTCAGTTTGAATTATATTTTAATCTAGCTTCTGCATTAACTTGTGTTAAAAATCCAAAAATGCATGTAATGTTTACATGGACATTTTCCAGAGCTCTAGATTTGTGGTGAAGAAACCATTTAAAATATTCATAATCTTAATAAAAAGTCTTTAAAACCAATATGTCTCTCAATAATGCTTATTCCAGACTATCACTTCTGATTCTTTTTTTTTTGGATTTATCACAGACTTAAGTATATTTATATTCTTTAAAAGCCATCTTTATGTATTGTTGATGAGAGTTATTTCATAGCTGTCATCATTTTTGAAGGGTTTGGCAATTTAACATTGTTTACTTTGAGTTCTTTAAAAGGTTCTAGCAAAATAGTATCTATACACACCTGGGAGCTCTGGCGGCATAGTGCCTAAGGCACTTGACTGCTAACCAGAAGGTTGGTGGTTCAAACCCACCAGCCACTCCTCAGAAGGAGGTTTGGGCAATCTACTTCCGTAGTGATACTGCCTTGGAAACCCAAGGAGGGGTCGCTATGAGTCAGAGATGACTTGATGGCACAACAACAACAGCAACATACACACCTTAGAACGATCAGCCACGGAAGATCAGAAGGGCAGTATTTGACAGGGAGAGAGCTGGGGAGACAAGAATGTATAGACAAGAAGACACAGGGAGAAACTTGGAAAAAAGCTGTTATATTGTGGGGATTGTAATCAGAGTCACAAAACAAAATGTGTATGAACTGTTGAGTATGAAATGAATTTGCTTTTAAAATTTCACCCAAATCACAAGAAAAAGTTAAAAACAAAACAAAACAAAAAACCTATCTATAGATTTTATTGAACAATACTTAATGAATTGCACTAATTTTGTGCTTCTCAGTACAGAATATACACCTCATACTGAAATAAATTAAAAAGTGTAATAAAACTATTGTACACCTATTAGAAATATAAAGCTCTCATATACATTTGACCTCCTAAAAAGGAATTATAAATATGGTTCCCTATTTATAACCCATGAAGATAAAATGTATATTATACAACTTTTAAAAAAGTCATGCTCTTGTTTGTCATCCAAGTGAACTTTTTTTTACTCCACTGTACTTTTTTCTTAATGATGATTAAATGAAAGTTAATGTGGATTAGATGTTGCAGAAAATATTTAAATAAATGCAACCACTTTTCCATGCACATAAAAAAAGTTATTTATTTATTTATTTTAATGACTGAATGCTCATTAGCTGTAAGGAGCAGGCAGGAAGAGACCATGCATTTCACTCTGTTGTATTAGCCACTTTTTTCTTTTCTTCTCTTTTCTTTTTTTAATTCTTGGAAGCATTTGAAACATTTTTCTTGAGTGAGTGTCCACTTTTTCATTAAGTGAACGTTTTTCCTCCCTTCTACCCCAGAGCTTCAACCTACCTGTCCCATCACTAGTAGTTGTTAGTTGCTGTTGAGTCAACTCCAATTCATGATGACCTTATGTATAACAGAAAGAAATGTTGCCCATTCCTAGGCCATCTTCATGACGTTACTATGTGTGAGCCCATTAAGTCCATTGAAAACCTTATAGATAACAACAGAGTTTTTCATTAAGAACCATTACATTTTACTTAAAGCTGGCTTTCCTCTAACTTCCTTTTTCCATTTTCAAAGTTCTGAGTTCTTGGATGCCCATGTAAAGGCTGGAACACAGTAATGCACCTCTCCAAAGTGTGCCCCTCTCAAATTCATGATCTAGGCCAATTTGAGAAAAATAAATAAATTACCAGTTGAAGTTATTTTCCATCTGCAAGTTTAAATTTCTGCATGTTGAATTTCCTTTTAAAAGAGAATAACCTTTACATGTAAACTGTAAATAACAAGGTTATGTCAATCATTTAGGCCAATTTTTTTAAGTGGGTGGGCATAATTGTAAATGCTGTCTTTCTCAGAATATGAGGAACATGATGGAATTTGGAAAAAAACAAGTTTATGAAACCGTGACTTCATCAGATCATTGGATTTCAGGGTGTTAATATGAAAACTGAACACTGATAACTTACTGCAATATAAGAAAAATTTGAAATGACTCCACTGAATATTAGCCAAGTGGTAGCATGAATGATTGAAGGCCCTAAAGGTTTTTGTGTGTATTTCATCTACTCCAGTGCAGTGCATAAGGTGACAACTTTAAGCCTTAACTTTGGCTATAAACAGTATTGATTTTTTGAGTTTAAAATGTTAAACAGGCATATAAAGGCCTATCATTATTTTGAGAATTTGTATAGATATCATATGGGATTCATGTCTCTTCAATCTCTCGTCTCTAACAGAAGGATCAGACAGGTATTACCCTCCTCAAGAAGAAGAAACAAATGAAATTGAACGGCAGCAGTCACAAGTTCGTGAAACCCATGCCCGGGTGAGAGCAGATGATAGTAACAGAAATGAAGTCAGAAGCACACAGCAAATGTGTAAGACCTCTGCATTTAACTTATAGGATTCATTTACAAACAGTTAAATAGTCTAAATACATAGTATATCCATTTATATTTTATCATGACTTGGAACATTTTTAGAATGGATGTAACTTAGCATTAGACTAAAAATTATGAAGAATAGCAGCTATCTTTCCAAACTTTAAACTGTTGTTTGTGTGGACTTCCCTGGTTTAAGTAATCTACAGTATGTGTGGGAATCTTACTATTTACAGGCAGGTCTTAATGTGTTTTTCTCTTGAAAACGTCAGACTGTTAGTACTTTCTGATAGATTACTGTTTCGCTATCTAAGGTGTATGACATTTTAAACGTCTTACTGGACAGATTGTCATCTGTAGGAGCCAATGCTTAAAGTTCAAACTTTAGAAATATGTCTGAATTAATGACTGCCATGATCCTTTTAGATACTTTCTGGGTATTACCTTTTGAGATTAATGTTTCATGAACAAATTTTTTAAAAAATTATACTTGTTTTCTAAAAACTTAAATCCAAAATGAAATATGCTAGTCCATTAAAATCAATTTGTTGAATATGCATATTTTAAAATAAATAAACTTTTTAAAACTACGAGCATGGCATTGATACTCTGTCCCAGTATTTCAGCACTTACTATATGGCAGATAATGGTACTAATTACTGGGGACACTGGGGATACATTTATGATAAAAAATAAGCATAATTCCTCCTCCAATGGAGGAAATAATCATACAAATGATACAAGTTTAAACCATGATAGATGTTAGGAAGAGGTAGCTGTTTATATAAAATTGGACTGTGTTATAATAGAAAAATTTTATATTCACTATTTTTAAATATTTTTTTTTCACAATATTTCAAGATTATGCTTAAAATTACATCTGTCCTTAATACTAGATTTAAAATCTCTTTTTCTTCTTTCTTCCTTTCTTCTTTATTTTTTAAAAAGGTTGGAAACAAAATTATTTGTTCCCACTTAGAGCTCTGTAAAAAACATTAAGTCTTAGCTTATGGTAGAAGAATCACATCCAAAGTTCAAGTGATCTTAGTATTATTTTTCTTAGTATTTTCTTGAATAACATTCTTCTTCTTTAAATGACCTTTAAGAATAAGTGGTTGATTAAATAGGTTACAGAAATTTAACAACAGTGTAGTAATTAGATACAGGCATACTTGATCTACAAGGGAGCTCTGGTGGCATAGTGCCTAAGGCATTTGACTGCTAACCAGAAGGCTGGCGGTTCAAACCCATGAGCCACTCCTTGGAAGGAAGATTGGGCAATCTACTTTTGTAGTGATACTGCCTCGGCAACCCAAGGATGGTTGCTATGAGTCAGATCCAACTCAACAGTAGTGAGTTTGGTTTGATTTTTTGATCTACAAAATCTCTAATTCTGATTTCCTACATTAATACATGATGATGTAGTCATGTTTCTAATCTAATGAGGGATTTATAAAAAAATAATATTTTTGTATTTATCTATATTATTTCTAAAAGTGTTTTAACGCTCACAAAACCTTAGTTGGATTAGATAGTATTATTTTCCACTTGATAGATGGAGCATTTAAGTTTTAGAGAATTTAAGTACTTGCTTATGATGAAATGACTAATAAATGATAGTGCAGAAAGCAAAACTAAAACAAGAACAGCAGTCTGCAGAATAAAGGAAATTTTCTGATTCTTAACTTGCCACTGTGTCCACTACACCATGTTGCTTTAAATCTTGTTATGATAGACTCACTCAGAGTTATGTTTATCAGAAAGTTCAATGATAAATCTTATGCAGCAATTAGCTTCTTTTACATTAGCTAAATTATTTTGTTTTCTTTTTTCTGCTTGTAGCCCAAATTGTTTCTTGTGAAGTAAGATTAAGAGACCAGTGCAAAGGAACAACCTGTAATAGGTAATACTATTATTCTCAAAATTAACTGAAAAAGTATGAAAAATATTTTATTTTTCACTGAAATTCAGAGAAACGAAATATTTTCTTGCAATTCCTTTCATTTAGATATGAATGTCCTGCTGGCTGTTTGGATAGTAAAGCTAAAGTTATTGGCAGTGTACATTATGAAATGGTAAGCATTATAAGTACTATCACTTGGGGTTATAGTGCTTCCATATAATACTTGATTTTGATTTTTTAATGTGAAAAAAAATTAAACTTACATAAGTATAGCTATTTCACTCACAACTATATATTTAAAGTCATATAAGTCATAACTCTTAATGCCCTGGGCAGAATTATAATATTTTAACATCTTTTTCTTCCCTCTTTTTCTCCAAGCAATCTAGCATTTGTAGAGCTGCAATCCATTATGGTATAATAGACAATGATGGTGGTTGGGTGGATATCACTAGACAAGGAAGGAAACATTATTTCATCAAATCCAATAGAAATGGCATTCAGTCAATTGGGTAAGTACCCAAACGATCTTTTGGATCAGATGATTTTTAAATTATAACAATGAGTTAACACAGTTTTTAAGAGAAAATCATAGAATTTAGTTTGTAAAGTGAGAAGCTGGTAATTTTTAAGATTTATTCCAGCTGCATATTTTCCACAGACAAAGAAGAAAAGGCATCTAAAACTTTCGAAGTCCACCTCTGTCACTCATAAAAGACATGCTAAAACTCCAAATTCATAGCAATTTCAAAGAATATACAGTTTCACAGTTAATCACAGTGTGGAGCAAGAAATTTTTTTCAGCTATGACAAAAAGTACCCCAGAGAGGACTACTGATTTTCCTCTGTAAGGAAAAAGGAGCCCTAGTGCAGTAATGTTACTGGGAAAAAAGACCTGGCAATCTGCTCCCATAAAGGTGATAGCTTAGGAAATCCTGTTTCCTGTAGGGCCGTGCTCTGTTACAGGGTCACTATGAACTGGAATCAAGACGGCACACAAAAACAACAACAACATTTAGGGAAAATGACTTATTTCATGCAACAGTAAGCTTATTAATGTGAAAAAAATAGGTTGATAGGTTAAAGAGCATTTTGAAAATGTTCCTAAAAATGTAATGTACTATGTCATCTTTCTTTTGTCTATTTAAATGTAATTTAACCCAATATAATAGCATTTACCAACATTTAATATTTATTTCATTGTTGTTGAGAATATACACAGCAAAGCATGTACCAGTTCAACAATTTCTGTGTGAAACCATTCTCATCTTTTTCTGAGTTGTTTTTCCTCCATTAACATAAACTCACTGTCCCCTAAGTTTCCTTCCTGATCTTTTGGGTTGCTGTTGTCACTTTGGGAGCTCTGGTGGCATAGTGCCTGAGGCACTTGACTGCTAACCAGAAGGCTGGCGGTTCAAACTCACCAGCCACTCCTTGGAAGGAAGGTTGGACAATCTACTTCCATAGTGTTACTGCCTCGGAAACCCAAGTAGGGGTCACTATGAGTCAGATCCGTCTCGACGGTACATAACAACAACAACAATAATTTCAGGGATTCACCTAGCCCCAATAGCTCTAGAAAGTCTAGAGTCCATGAGAATTTATAATTCCATTCTGTATTTCCCCCTTTTGATCAAGATTCTTCTATAGAATCTTTAATGAAAATGTGCTGTAATAGCAGCTGGGCACCAACAAGTTCTTTTTGTTTCATGGTGTTCTGGTTACCTAGTACCACTCTGGTAGGAAATATACCACAATATACCACAAATAAACTCTTTACTAGTTAAGCTAAATTGTTTGGTTTTAAGAAAACTTTTGGGGATATTTTTGTTTTAAGTTTTAAAGATTATCTCAGAGTAATTGGTAGCATAGTGCCTAAGGCACTTGACTGCTAACCAGAAGGCTGGTGGTTCAAACCCACCAGCCACTCCTTGGAAGGAAGATGGGACAATCTATTAGTTTATTCTTACAATTTGGAAGTTTTAAGTCCAAGTTCAAAGTGCCAGGCTCTTGGGGCTGGGTGAAAGCCCCTCAGCCTTGGGCTTCAGCTCTGCCTCCAGCTCCCAGCCCACTGAAGCTAGAGGCTTTTCTTCACTCAGACAGCTGCTGGCTGCTGAGGCTGCCAAGCCCAAGGTTGAGAAGTAAAAAAGGCACAGTCCCAATGTTAGCAAACCACATGGCAGGCCATTAATTCAAGTCCATTGTAAGTCCCAAGGTCTGCAGAGCATGGAAGGCTGCTGAACAATGACACAGCTACATGCAAGGTCCAAGTGTGCCATATGCTAGAGATCATTCCCAAGGGTTCTCCTTATATACAAGAAGCAGACCACATCCCAAAGGCAGCTACTCAGCTACTTGTTGTAGATCCCACCATGCAGTTGATTGCCAGTCTCATCATGGGGAATAAATACTACCAGCTGCCCATCCACTCAACCAGGCCCAGCCACGTTGACACACAAACATACCAACACACATGGCAAAAGAGGCAGTTGATCATGGAAGCAATTAGCTATACATTCCATATCCTCCTTCTATTCCTGACTCTACTTCCTCTGTTGCTCCAGGTGAATAGAGACTGATTGTTGAGGCCACTTGCAAGCTTGTACAACACTAGGCACTATGCAACAAACTGGGAGGTAGCACCGAAGCACTAAACATATTATCAGGCCACTTAACTGAGATGTCTCATGAAATCATGACCTGAACCGAGAAACTGAGAAATCAAATCCCATGAGGTTTTTGGTTATGCATAAACAGCCTCCTTAGCTTCTTTTTGTTGTTGTCATTGTTGTAAATATATCTATCACACAACTTTTGCCATTTCAACTTTTTATAGGTGTACAACTTATTGATAGCAATTAGAATAATCAGCTGTGCAGCCCTACTCTTAATTCAAATTTTATGTCACCATTACCCACTTTTTCCCCCCTCCCTCTTAACCCTGGAAAGGAGCTCTGGTTGTGTAAGTGGTTAGTCACTTGGCTGTTAAATGAAAGATTGGAGGTTTTAACTCACCATCAGCTAGCTCTTCAAGAGCAAAATGTAGCAGTCTGCTTCTGTAAAGATTTATAGACTTGGAAACCCTATGAGGCAGTTCTACTCTGTCAGATAAGGTTGCTAAGAATGAGAATTAACTCAACAGCATGGGATTTTACTGGGTAGTGTTTCATTCTGTTGTACGTAGGGTCACTTTGAGTAGGAACTGACCCAACACCACCTAACAACAGTAACCACTAATAAACTTTGGTCTCTATACATTTGCCTTTTCTTTTCTTATTATATAAGTGGGTCACACAATATTTGCCCTTTTGTAATTTCACTCAGCATAATATCTTCAAGATCCATCCATACTGTTGGTGTATCATATTGTTTCTTCCATTGGCTGAGTAGTATTCCATTGTATGTATGTATCATATTTTGTTTATCCATTCATCTGTTGATCAACATTGATGTTGTTTATACCTTTTGCCTATTGTGAATAGTGCTGTAGTGAATCTTGGCATACCAATCTCTCTTTGAGTCTTTGTTTTCAAGTCTTTTGGGTATATACCTAGAAGTGGAGTTGCTGGGTTATATAGTAGTTCTATCTATCTATCTATCTATTTATTATTTATTTATTTTTTTTTTTTTGAGGAACCACTACTCGTCTTCCTCATGGTCATACCATTTTGCATTCCCATCAGTAATGGATAACAGTTCCAGTTTCCCCACATCCTTGTCCACATTTGTTGCTTTCTATTTCTCTCTCTCTCTTTTTTAAAATCTTAGAGCTGATGACTAGTGATGTTGAGCATCTTTTCATGCATTTGGTGGCTATATGTATGTCCTCTTTGAGGAAATGTCTATTCAAGTCCTTTGCCCATTTTTATATTGGCTTCTTTGTCTTTATTGTTAAGGTATTGACAATGTATTTGTTTCTTATGTAATTTGGTTACTAGATATATGGTTTCCAAAGATATTCTCCCAGTCAGTAGCTTGTCTTTTCAATTTTTTGGTAAAGGCTTTTGATGAACAAATGTTTTTAATTTTAAGAGGTCTCATTTACTTATTTTACTTTTTGTTAACTGTGCTTAACCCTTTGTTAAAAGCTAGGCCCAATTGTGTTGCACCTGCATTTTCTTCTGAGGATTTTATGGTTTTAGGTTGCACATTTAGTTCCTTAAGCCATTTTTAATCTGTTTCTGTGTATGGTGTGAGACATGGATCTTGTTTCACTGTTTTGCATGAAGTCCAGTTTTTCCAACAGTAATTATTGGGAAGACGCTTCTTTCCCAGTTGAATGGACTTAGCCTCCTTGTCAAAAATTAGTTGAACATAGATGTGTGAGTTTATTTCTGGATTCTCACTTCTCTTCCATTGGTCTGTGTGTCTTTTGTTATACCAGTAACAGACTGTTTTGATCACTATAGCTGTATGCTATGTTTTAAAGTCAGGAAAGGTGAGTCTTCCTACTTTGTTCCTCTTTTTCAATATTGCTTTAGCAGTTCAGAGTCTCTTGCCACTCAATGAAGTTGAGGATTGGTTCTTCCATTTCTGTAAAGAAGGCTGTTGGACATTTGATTAGGATTATATTGAATCTAAAGATCGCTTTGGGTAGTTTTGATAGAACATCTTTCCATTTATGTCTTCTTTAATCTCTTTCAACAGTGTTTTATATTTTCACTGTATAAGTCCTTCATATCCTTGGTTAGATTTATTCTTAGATATTTCATTTTTTTTTAGATGTTACTATAAATGTAACTGTTTCCCTAATTTCCTTTTCAGATTTCTCATTGCTGGTATATAGAAATCCAACAGATTTTTGTTTCTTGACCTTGTGCTCTGCAACTTTGCTAAAGTCCTCTTTTGTTGTTGTTATATGCTGTTGAGTCAGACCCGACTCATAGCGACACCTCCTTGGGTTTCTGAGGCAGTATCACTATGGAAGTAGATTGCCCAACCTTCATTCCAAGGAGTGGCTGGTGGATTTGAACTGCCAGCTTTCTGGTTAGTGGTCAAATGGCTTAGGCACAATGCCAACAGAGCTCCTAATATAAAGATACCATCCTTTAATGTCAAGAATGGTATTGGTTTGGTTCATACTTCAGCATAATGTATAACCAAACCAAACTCACTGCCACTGAGTCAATTCTGACTCATAGTGACCCCTTCTTGGATTTCCGAGGCAGTATCTCTACAAAAGTAGATTGGCCAATCTTCCTTCTGAGGAGTGGCTGGTAGGTTTGAATCACCAGCTTTCTGGTTAACAGTCAGATGTCTTAGGTACTACAGTACCAGAGCTCCTAATATAATATATATACATGGCATACCAGCCACTCCTCAGAAGGAAGGTTGGGCAATCCTACTTCTGTAGTGTTACTGCCTCGGAAACCCAAGGTGGGGTCACTATGAGTCGGGGCCGACTCGACAGAAAATAACAACAACAACCTCGGAGGTATTGCAGGTTTATCTAGATCACTGCCATAAAGCGAGTCACACAATTTTTTTGTTTCCCAGGGCATATAAAAGTTATGTTTAAATTATACTGTAGTCTATGATGTGTACAATAACATCATGAAAAATTATGAAATATTGTGAGAATAACCAGAATATGTCACAGAGACATGAAGTGAACACATGCTGTTGGAAAAATGATGGTAATAGACTTAGTTGCCATAAACCTTCAATTTGTTTAGAAAAGGAAAAAAAAAAGAAACTCACTATCTGTGAAGTGCAATAAAGCAAAGCACAGTAAAAAAGAGTTATGTCTGTATTTTTAGAGTATTACCTATCCAGAGGGAGTGCTGATGGCGTAGTGCCTAAGACATTTGACTGCTAACCAGAAGGCTGGAGGTTCAAACCCACCAGCCACTCCTCAGAAGGAAGGTTGAACAATCTATTTCTGTAGTGATACTGCCTTGTAAACCCAAGGAGGGGTGGCTATGAGTTGGGATCGACTGGAGGGGAGTGAGTTTAGTTTTTTGGTTTAAACCTGTAAACCACCAGGAATCATGACGATGATGTTGTATATAAGTAAATGATTGATATCTACCTTTTTCTTTCTAGCAAATACCAGTCTGCTAATTCCTTCACAGTCTCTAAAGTAACAGGTTAGCACTGTTATTTTTTATCTGATTTTCTTACTATTGTGTTGAATGTTTTTGCTTCCAAAGGATTTGCTTATTGTTTTGTATTCTAATTCTTGTAGTTCAGGCTGTCACTTGTGAGACAACTGTGGAACAACTGTGTCCATTTCATAAGCCTGCGTCACATTGCCCAAGGTAATATTTTAGACATTTTATCATTCTTTTGTTTCAGGGAAAATTGTGGAGATTTGGCCCTGTATTAATTGTATTTGTCTGGCATCCTAGTGTCCTTAGTGTTTAAATGATGCATGATCTTCAACTGCTGAGCAGGAGAGCGCAATGGGATATCAAAAATGACGTGCACTCCAGGCACCTCTTGTATGGTTTCCCCAAATAGAATAGCGCTTTGTACATATAGCCTACATATAATCTCTGTTTCAAATATGCTACAAAGAGCTCTTATCACAGAAACCAAAACAACATAACTTATATATATATATTTTAACATTTTTATCTAGTTTCTAAACTAGTTAAATCTAATTACAATTGGTAAATCAGAAAACCCATCTTCCCTCTTTTCTTTTTATGATACACTGTCTTTTATAAAAGACACTCTGGTGGTGTAGGGAGCTCTGGTAGCATAATGGCTAAGTCACTTGCCTGCTAACCAGAAGGCTGACGGTTCAAACCCACCAGCTACTCCTCGGAAGGAAGGTTGGGCAATCCTACTTCCGTAGTGATACTGCCTCGGAAACCCAAGGAGGGGTCGCTGTGAGTTGGGGCCGACTCGACGGCACATAACAACAACAACAACAACTGGTGGTGTAGTGGTTAAGGCATTTGGCTGTTAACCAAAAGGTCAGTAGTTTGAACCCACAAGCTGCTCCTAGAAGAAAGATGAGGCAGTCTGCTTCTGTAAATATTTGGAAATCCAAATGCATACTATGAGTCAGAATCAACTCAATGGCAATGAGATCTTTTGAAAATTATGGTAGAGTAAACCTACTATAAAATAATGAAAAATGCTTAATTTATCTTGGCCAAACTAAGATGAAAACTTTTAGAAGTGTTATTATAAACAGTTTAAATGGGATAGTAAAACACCATTTGTGAGATATGCAAGTGATATTTTAGTAGGCAAAGGAAACTTTCAGTATGGGGAATAAGACCGCTGAATCGTTTATAATTATTAATTTGTTGAGAGATTTACTTCATGTAGGTAGCTTGATTATATTTCAAAATTGCCTTAACCCTAAACAGTATTATTTATTGAGTTTTGGTATAAGTAGACAAACCTTTGGAGTTGTGGTACTACTTTTTAATGGAAAATAATATAGTGTAATTATCAATTTAGTCACTATCACCAATTTTTTTCTCCACTGCATTGGTTGTAATTTCATGATTTTAAGTAAAAATATTTTTGTGACTTATCATATTGTATTCTTTTACTTTCCTTATTTTGCTATCAGTCTTGTAAATTGGCAGCTTTTGAATTACCAGTACCAAAAAGAAATGAACATCTTGTTCATTGTGCACTAATTGCATTTGTATGAATGGAACTCCACTTTGTTGGTAGGGTTCAAGAATCAATTGAAAAATGTCTTGACATTCTTCCCAGTTATACATATTGTTCAATCCCTGAAATACTGTTTAGCTAAAGTCGGTTTTATCTTGTATAATTTAAAATATTCTGATTTAGTAGGATTTTAAAACATGTCCAACCAAATTTAAAGCCTCATGTAGTAGTGGCTTTTAATTTTTAAAAAATCCTTATTATTTCGTTTCTCTTTTCCTAAAGGTTTGTATTCACCTGTAATTTAATCTAAAGCAATAACAAATAAATTAAGGGATTTTTATAAAGTGAAAACTTTATACCAGTAGTAAATTTGTATAACTTCTGCTCATTTCTGAAATTTTGCATCCACTTTTTTGTAATTCTAAATTTAGTTATAGGATGATTTTTGCTAATTATTCAGATTTATCTACACAGTTATCTCTTTGGAAGGCTCTATATCTGGCAGAAAACTCAAATTAAGCTATCTTTAAATTTTTATTTAATGCCATACATTCATAGAAATTATGTGTGTATATTTGTGTATGTGTATATGTTTGAAAATTTTATGCATTTTTATATCAATCTATAAACTGTTAGATCTTTAAAATCTGTTAAGTATTCAAGATGAAAAATTGACATTGTTAAAATATGTCATCAATTTTTATTCAAAGTTCACAAGATCAAAACCTACATTTTCAGTGGTATGTAACAAGCTATTAAAGCCAGCAGTTCAAAGGCAAATAAGTAAAACTCTTCCCTCACTCTCTTTTACCTGAGCATATCTAAGTAGAACGACACTCAGCTTAGAACTAATGTGTTCCTTGGCAAACCAAGTGCTAACTATGGTCAAGATATGACCACTTAGCGTGATCCTGAGGACAGAGCCTGTGCTTATAGTAAGCAGAGAATCCCCAAAAGTTACCAAATACAATGAGATCATTTTACAGTCAATGGGTGATACCATCCTTCTTACAGAATCATAGACAGCATCTTTTACATCAACCCTTTAAAGGAGCTCTGGTAGTGTAGTGCCTAAGGCATTTGACTGCTAATTTAAAGGCTGTCGGTTCAAACCCACCAGCCACTCCATAGTGACAGCATCTCGGAAGCTCAAGGAGGGGTCACTATGAGTTGGATCTGACTCGATGGCAGTGGGTTTTGTTTTGCTTTTTTTTGAAGTTACTAAAACTAGATTTTTTTTAACTTCTATTTAAATGTTTAAAAAAATCTGGTTTAAACATTACATTAACTTATACAATGATTATAGAGTGTTACACAAATTTTAGAAATAAGAAATTTATTTGGCCTATAGCAGTATAATTACTTCTTTAAAACTACTCAAGAAAGATTCATTTCAATTGGCAAAGGTTGTTTCAAGTATTTTAAAATATTTTTTAGGAAAAACTATTGATGGGAGCTCTGGTAGCATAGTGGCTAAGGCGCTTGACTGCTAACCAGAAGGCTGGAGGTTCAAACCCACCAGCCACTCCTCGGAAGGAAGGTTG